GATTAGGGTGTAAAACGTTTTATTAATCTGATTAACGTAACCAGGTGACTTGAACATAAATTTGTTAATTCGACAGGAGTTCTAACATATTCGAATATGCAAATGCAAAGCTGTGCAGTGACGATAAGTAACGCGTGTCGAACTGTTCGGAGTTTGGGGGAAATACTGACTTCAATAAGAGATATGGGCAAAACGGGTAATAAAGAAAACTCAGCATTGTGCAGAAAGTATTGGAAGTATTTAAAATTAATTAAAAATTCTAGAAGCTTGGTGACTAATATAGGTCTGCTATTTCAGATATATAATATTCACATGAAATAAATTCGGTTGTACATGTGTGGTTTTGCATATATATTTCAGAGCACCTTTACCACAAGTTTAATTTAAATCAGATTTGTTGAGATATCAGAAATGCCCTATTATAAATTATGTAGGAAACATGCATGGATTTGAACATTAAATTAAATTATTTTGCAAAATTAGATTATTATTATGCACATATTTTTACTTAGACTAGCATTGTCTTGGTGTAGAAGGCAGCGGGTCTACCTGCAGTGTCGAGACAGTCGTGGTCGTGAGTTTGACTTCTGACAGGTTGTAATATTTATCTGTTTGTTCGTACAATTTATTTATTTACTAAGATTCATTGAAATGCGACGAATAGTACTTGAGATATCGATGGATAGGCTGAAAACTGAATATTATGCTAATTAGGTAATTAATATACACATATTTTAACCTAATCATGGCATCTAAGTGTCAAGTTTCTTGCGAGTATAGTCATTCCTGTTCGCTATACAATGTTCAATGGTATTATACACAAGGCTTGCTCGAGACCGATGCACAGTAGCACATGTACAGCTGGAAGAAAACGACCAACTTACACAAAAGTAGTTTCTGCGAAACCTAACAACCCTATTTTACATCAGGTAGAGCTGCCCACTACTACGGCATTTGACATTTTGATCACGTGAAAATAAATGAATCTGGACTAGCGCACTTGTGTATAAACGTGACAATTCCATAAATCAACCAGTGTTTACTAAATTAACGTGATCTCAAGTAACTTTTAATCTCACTACAAATTTAAACACACGATGTATTAAATATTTAACAATAGTGTGTGTAGTGTAAAAGTTATTTATAAAGATTTGGATCGCTCACATAATTTATGATGTTATGAATACAGCTTTAACATATTTCACATTAAACCATGGAGACATATGTACAATTCTGTGTTACTTACGTTAGGGAAATCGAGTCCCAAAGTATGCTTTACACTTGTCCAGACTTCACGATTGTTTCCTGAAATTATAAATAAATAAATTGGAAATTTCGGCATCTTGACGTAAACAAACAAAACTTGACAGATTGTCGAAGACTGTTGATGGAACTTGCATTCATCAGAAATGAAGTGTCAATATTAAAATAAGTAATAAATAGTCGAATTGAAGACCGACCATTATCGTCGCGTTTAATTTGCGTCTGCAAATGCAAAACTTATTTTGTATGCATGCGTAATTATGCAATAAAGCTTTCAAATTTGCTCTGAAAAAAACATTACTAATGCACTTTTGAATATAAGTATATGTGCATTTATTATGTGTTGATTTTACGAAATATATGTATGCAAACTACACCATGACACGTGTGTTACCATTGTCACAATTTCGACTCGTATTTGGGTCTTTGCGTTAGTACATAAAACATTATTTGACGTCGAGTTGACCTCACGTCGATTCTCGACCAAATTCAAAGTTGCGGTTTCGTTTTTGAGAATCACGTGCCTTTAACGGCTGATTGAACCTATTAAAAACTAGGAAATAAGAAGGTTGGTACTCACCTGGACCAACTACATATTTCTTGTCTTCATAATCAATTCCAGAATATTCCAAGAGAAGGCGGATAGGCTGGGCAAGCTGAAATGAAAATGCAGATAATTACGCTAATGGGAACAAATGTGACTACTGTCTCATATTCATTGACTTCCATAATATATTAATTTCGTAACGCCTGTCTTGCAAATCACCGACCGTTACAAGAAAACACGGATATTATCGTTTATTCCGCACGTCACTCGTGCTCCTTATACTAACACATATAACTAGGTTATGCATTTCATTTTGAAAACAGGAAATACAGCTCTGTACTACTAAGTATTTCTTTTCAATCATCTGTATGAAAGGCGATTGTTTCCAATAACTGCAAAAGCATATGTATTCACATTAAAAATGTACATATTAAAAAAGTCAGAATTATCATCAATAAATTATGCTTTTATTAAAAAAACTAATTGCACTGATTTTGTATTATCTTTTATTTGTACACAGCAAATCGTGCTAGATTATATTACGTCAATATTTATATCACTAAGAGTCGCGGCTCCAGCATTATAATTGAGTTTTTATGGCCATAAACATGTTTGTTGACACTTTGACATTTCTTTTTCATCATAACATCTAACAACGTCTTGCAAGCCTCTCCTCATTTATCGAACGCGTACTTTTTAATGATTGGCGGTCCGAAACACGAACGACCCAGAGTTATGTTTAAACCAGGATTGTCATTGCATATTACAGCGTATGTCATGGTGGGAGTGTGAACATATCCTCAGCAGTCGCAGCAGTTACCTGATGTATATTTCTAGTAGGGTCGCTTGTGCGTGGGCTTCAGAAAGCATTTAGTATGAAACGCCAGAATCACGTATATTCGGTCTTGACCTCCACTCTGTCTATTGTAGTTATTTGAAGACTAAATGAGCTACGGCTAGCCGAAAAAGGTCTCGATTGTATACAGTGCCACCAGTGGCTATTCTCGGCTCCATGCGTAAAGACATGCAATGATCATCGCACTTGATCGTGCCGCGTCGCGTTCGATATGGAGTGTAAATATATATATATTTTTTGTTCACACAAAATTCTACCGCGTGCTTCACGCCAACCACCGCCATTTAATTAAATTATCATATTGTCCACGCAATGACGATCATAGGAACATCCTGGCCATCGAACCGAACTCCGAAACCGTTGCAATAAATAGTCCATTTTTATTTATTACTAAATAACATACAAAAAACATTTGCTACTTTCTTGTTGTGCGTTCATGGCCTACCGAACTCCAATACACAACGTGTTTGCAAAGGATCGACAGCTCTATATAAGTATGTAATATGATATATAGGGCATGCCACAATAGATCATTAATCAGCACGAATTAAACAGGCAACTAGTTTAGCTGATAGGTCAAACAGGCTAGTTGTAAATGCCATGTAGTTTATCAAACGTATCTATAAAAAGAACCTTAATCAACCACGTGGCATTAGAACAAATAACATTGGAAAATGTGTCACGCCCTCTCAGGTGTTTTAGTTCGCCATTTCGAAAGCATTCATTCGGCTTTTATCAAAATAAGATTCATAAATATATAAGGCTAACTATTGTGATATCAGAGCATTGTATTCCTTGAAAAAATATCTCGAAGGTAAACTATTTAGAAGAGTGGAGTGTGAAATCAAAAATAACATACTGGTTGTATAATAACTGGCGGGAAGAAACAATTTTTTCCAATCATTACAGCGATTCACACAGTTGGAGATATATCAGTAATAC